CAAGATCCAAAGTACTTTTGGTCATTTATTAAAGAAAAACGCGTTCCGTCGTCTATTTCTAAAAAAGTATAGCTAAATGGTAGCTCATATGGCGATCCTGTTGATGTAGTAAATGCTTTTGCCCGTTATTTTTCCTCCTCATTTAATTCGTCATCCACTAATCAGCAAACTAAGCCGTTAAACTGCTTTAATGAGTGCAGCAATTAATGTATTAATGTTTGAATCAATGATGATGATATTATAAAGGCAATCAGTAGGTAAAGTTAAAAATAACCATGTATCTGTATCTGGTGTTGATCAAATACCAGACTTTTTAATTAAAGGATGTTCAAATATATTTCTTAAGCCATTATGTTGCATATTCAATCTTAGTCTGAACCATTCGTATGTTCCTAAATTATGGAAAATTGCCTAAATTACATCGGTGTTTAAGGATGGCGATATTTTTGATGTGAGAAACTTCATCTATTTTATGTAATTTTTCTAAGATTTTTGAAACCATTTTGTATAATCAAATATCTTTTAGTATTAGAGGGTGTATTTTAGCTAGTCAACATGGCTTTGTTTCAGGTAGATCGACTTCAACTAATCTGACGTCCATGTCCCAATACGCGGATGACATTAAGATCTATACGAAAACAGAAAGTTTTGACGATTGCCCCTTATTGCAGATGGCTCTGAAGAATATCCAACAATGTTGTATATCAAATTGTATACTATTAAACCATAAACCGCGTCAATTATATTTCTTATAATGGCTTCAGGTCCCCTTTATTTACATCTAATAGCGGCGTTGCGCAAGGTTCTAATCTTGGACCGTTACTCTTCAACATATTCGTAAATGACTCAGTTGTCCGATTCTTGCTTATGCTGACGACCTCAAAATAACACGATATTTTTAATTTTTTTTTTCATATTCAATTAATGGATTTTCTATTATTAAGAAAGACTATGTGATTTTTTATGTAGGATTTAATAAAACAGAAATAGGGGAAATAGTACTTATCCTTCGGTAACAACTATTTTCACTTTTTGTATTTATTAATGTTTTCAGTACCGTAAAAATTTGGACTCGTCTTTCAATGAATATATTTCCCCTTTTTCATTTTATTTTTGCATGCAAGCTTTCCGAAATTTAGAATAAGAAACATTATATTTAAATAGTATTTAACAGAACATGTTCCCTTCAAACTCCATAATATATAATTTAGCTCAATCATTAAAATATTAATAAAACATTTGTTTTCACAGAATTTTGTTTGTTTGTCTCCACTAATGCAGACCCACGCAGTGGTTAATGACTACTATCCAATTATTAATTTCTGTTAAAAAAAATAACAACCCGTATGATGTCATTATAATCAATGTTCTGTCACCGCAGATTTCTGAAGAACATGATTGAAACGTCATTCGTGGTAACATTTGCAGCCTGCATAAAAGATCCATTTCACTGCATAGAGAACAACACTACTCCACAGAAGCTAAACAAGTGAAGATCGTGTGTACTTTCACCATGGCAAAACTCGATAGTGTGTTGTTAACTATATTTGTTTTTTGCTCTACTGGTAAGTACTTATATGTTTTTCGTGAAAACCTTAAAAAGAACCATTTTGAACAATCATATTCTTTTAGCTACTACCCACTACACTACAAAGCCAACCCCTATATTTACCCCACGCCCGCCTATCGCAATAACTAAAGAATGCATGAACTGCCTTTGTCAGACTATGTCTCACTGCGTGGTCGACAATAAATGTACAGGTGACGCCTGTGGCCCTTTTAGAATAAACTGGGAATACTGGGCTGCCTCTGGAAAACCTGTCATCCATAATGGGGTTTCTAACATTGGCAATAAATATATTAAATGTGTTAAAAACTGGGGCTGTTCAGTTCGGTCAGTACTAGGATACCTCAGCAGGTTCCAACAGGTAAAAATTCGGGCTGATTTTAGAAAATATTGTAGTTTTATTATTTCGACAGGACTGTAACGGTAATGGTAAAATCGACTGCTACGACTATATCGCCACTCATTTATTTGGTCCTCATGAATGCAGAAAGAAGAAGCTCACAGGAAAGTACCTACAACGTTATCAATCCTGCGCGTGCGGAAAGATACGTGATTGTCACTGATTTGTTGTTAATTATTATCCTTTATATAAGTATTAATAAAGCTAATAAATAGTTAACAGTGAACTGCTTTCATTTTTGAAGTGTGTTTCCAATCTCTCTAGAAAGAATTAATAATATATTAAATATCTGATTATTATTATGTTTTGATTAGTTATTCTTGCCCTGCTCAACAAGAGCAGTTTTTGAGTAAACTGTGTTCTTTATTTTATATCATTCATTGCTCAAAGAAAAGTAGATTGCCTAAATTTTTCTCGCATTTTTTACTACTTGGTTCTCTTGTCCATTTGAGTTCAAATACTTTCTTCCCTTCATGAAAGGTTTTTTTTGGAATAAGGTGTTTGTTGTTCAGTATGTTTGATCCTGTATCGTTCGAAAAGAAAGTTAATCACTAGTTGACTACAAAATCAAACTGAAGGAACATGGCTTGAGTTAAGGAGAAGACGTAGTTGAAAATGAATCATGCGAAGAATCTTTCCAAGAAACTTTTGAAAATTTTGGATGTGATGCAACAATTATTTTCGAATCAGTAGCGAAGAGAATGGTAACAGGTATTTTGAAGTGAACGAAAATTACTCGAACGATGGCACCAATGAAAGTAAGCCCAACAATAATTCTGGAACAGGCGATGACCGCTGGCTCAACATATACCTCATATCAATTTCGAATCTAACACCTATGGCGTTTTTTTTATGAATCATTATTTGACAACGTGTTATAGAAGAGTTCTGGGTTAGGAAGGAAATACGAGGCAGAAAAACGGCGCAAAAATACCACTCAAAGCTTATTCATAGAAAAGAAGAGGGAACAGTGCAGACGCCAGATGCAATAACAAGCTTTCAGTAACGAGCCACCCAAACACCTCCTATTTCTTAGTTGTATTTTATCATTGAGATATTTTGTTATTATAATTATTGCCTAGTTTTATAAAGGTATTTTAAAGAATATCCCGACGGTGATCGCAGTGGCGGCTCGTGACTGATGCGGTGAGGCGATGATAGAAGTTTGACAATAATAGTATGAATAATAAAATTAATAAAATTAATGTGATTAATGTATATTACTTGGTCTTAATAGTTAGTAATGATAGAAGTCTTGCCTGAATACCGGTCATTTCCGAGTCAGTAGTGGGTCCTAATAATGATAATAATAGTAATAACACCCATAACACATTTAATCAACAATGTTTTTACAAGTCAAAATTTTGTTTAAACTAGCACTTTCTTGGAGGGATTCGGCAATAGTTGTGTTCCTTTCTAAACGTTTTAAGGCCATGAAATTTTTAATGTGTACTTTGGAACTTTTATGTGACTTTGCACTTTGGATGAAATTCTTTAAATCGTTATATCCCGGAGACGTCGTCCATGTGTTTTTTACATTACCTAAGAGTAGACACGGCCAACAATATAGACTTTCAGCATAAATATTACGGCTACGGCAGAGCCGTTTATATGTTTTCTACCAGGCTGATTTAAATGACCTAGAGTACTGACGATTTTGTCGCTTATCAATGGAAGTTGAATGAATTAACGGTTTTGACTGCTCGATATTTAGCAAAATTTACTGACGTTCTAACTCGGTTCGCCGTGAAAACGGGGTTTCAAGAAGCAACATGACAATAGCGTACTCGGGATTCATTTTTCACTCACCTGTACCATGTACCTATGAAACAGACAAAAACACGAAACACCAACACGTGGGCGTTTATTCACGTTTCTGTTAATTACCCACGCACCCTGCACCCCTACCATTCTGTAAAATAAATCGGAAAATGGTTTAATTAGTACGCCGAAATTGGCCGAGAAGCATCGAAGATATCGCCTCAGTTCTGAGCGAATTCGTGTATAGGAGTATAGCAGCTGAGTCATGGAAATCCGTGTCTGTGATTGGGCTTCGTTGGTTCAAGTGAACCGACGCTCTGGCCGCTTCAGTTACAGAACTCGGGGCATAAATCGTACAGTATGCAATGGAAAATGTCGCAGAAAGCGTAAAAAATAAAAAATCATCTACAAATTTCCCATTTCAACATATTTTTGTAACTAAAAATGGATTGAAAGCTCTTCTTTAATTATAAATTAAATCAATCTGTTCTTAAGATATATGCTGTGAGGCGCAGCCTCACTTGCCTCATATGACGAGCCGCCACTGGGTGATCGCAATTTAAAACCACGCGTCCCTTCTGGATAGTTCGCCGTCATCACTTCGAGCATGTTCTAAAGCCCGCCGCCGAGACTTCCGCAGAACCGCTTCTACGCATTTCTTTATTCGAATGCAGCCGTCAACGATGATCAATCATCCATCATCGCTGTGCATACTAGAAAACCCGTAGGCGTCGTCCCGTAGTGGCGTATGGGTTTACTTCGTAAGAATATTGTGTCTACAAAACTCAAAAAATCAATTAATGAAAAATTTAATTTATTGATCACATTTCTTAATGTGATCTAGACATTTAATAATATACAGATCTTTGTATTAACTTATATTAAAAAAAATCACAAGATCAAATTTTATAATGTATGTAACAGACTGATTTTGTTGCATTGTAGTTCGAGGGTAAGGAGAGTGTCTAAATAACGTTCGACAAATTTTTCCGGGTATTACGTTTTAACCTATAGATATACAATATTTCAAACTACTGGACTACCATTATTATTATTATTATTTTAAAAAAAAACCTTCGAAGAATAATAATAATTAATCGTAACTTGTTTATTAATAAAATTTGTTTATGTTGATATCTTACGATAACAGAAAAGCAAACATATATCCATATATTCATAGAAGCTGTTTTTTATTTTATCTTACTGCTATAAATAAGTAGTGATAGGATTTTGGTATGCAATTTGTAATAATTTTACTAAAGAGATAGTGAAAGTTCGATTTTAAAATCAGACAACTACCACTATTTCCCATGGCAAACGTAAACAGAATTTGTTGTATTGTACTAATTGCAGGTAAGTACGTTGAAAAAAAATTGGAAGAAATTTTTAGTAACTTTGGAACCTATTTTTATTACACTAATGTACAAAAGTTAAAGAAAACGCATTTTCAGGTTTTGCATTTGTCAAAGGTGAAAATGTTGTAACATCCGAATGTTTGGTTTGCATCTGTGAAGCTGCTACTGGGTGCAATTTCACTAAAGATTGTAATTTGAATTCAAATGCATGTGGTCCGTTTAGAATTACGAAACCCTACTGGGCAGGTGCTGGGAGTCCTACGCTTCTGGATGAATCTCCCCAGTCGGTTTCAGCTTTTACACACTGTACTAACCTTTATTGTTCCATTAAAACTGTTCAAATGTTTATGACGAAACACGAGAGGGTAAATATTAAACAAAACTTGTGGAGTTTGTACGTCTTAAAGGTTTTTTTAGGACTGCAATGGTGATGGTATAATTAACTGTGACGATTTTGCTGCGATTCATCAACTGGGATGGAAAGACTGTGAAAAAAAACTGCCAGACGACTTCGTATCACCTTATCAGAAGTGTAGAAGCATGTTACTTAAGTATGAAACAGTCGCTCAAAATAACATTAATTTTAATTAACATTTTTTCTTCGTTTTTCTGTATCAACTATTTTTGATTAATACTGATAACTGAATGATATAAAAATGTTAACGTGTTAAACCACGAAACTGATAATTAGGAAACGTTACCTATATTTGTTACTTTTAGAATCTTAGTGTAGCCTTCTTTATTTATCTTTATCTATCTTTTTGTTTGGAAGCTGGTTTTTGGGGTGGTTCACTTTAGCCAATTCATGATTATCAGATCACAACTTGGTCTGTGTAGGAATCGTCAATTTTTTATTTTTTTTTGTATCGGGGGTTTCTAAGTATTAATTTTGACGGGTTGCCTTAACCTAACACACATGTCCAAATTTGCGTATGGTACCATCTAAATAGATAATCGTAATCGACCATTAGTTCCCAAATATAAGAATAAAATTCGCATATTCGCAAATATAAAATATCATTGCGCTTGTCAGACATCGCAAACCACATGCGCAGAGCCGCACATGCAAAAAAATCTCCAATCCCAATTACTTTCATTAAACCAAGATGACTTAGACTAACGCAACTAAAATGACGAGATGGGAACCGGGCGATGCAAGCAGAAAAAGTCAACAAATTTATGAGTTAACCTTGTGCCAAAAGTTTTATAAAAACGGAACCACAAAAAAAAAATTCATCAAATCTCGAGGTAAACTACAAACATTTTCCAACTTGAATGGCTGCCCGAATTTGTGCTGAATTTTGAATAAAGTTAGAAAAGTTTGCTGAATTACGGAAGAAGGCTGGACTCGGAAAAAATTTTGGCTGTAGTAAGTGTTTAATTTATGCATTTTTCTCGGTAGCGCCGGGGTTGAAAGAATCTTGTAATTTTCGAGGTTTTGTTAATACAGATTTAGTTGCACGTATTAATGTTACATTTAGAAGGTATCACACATATTTAGCGACTTGTAAATTTAGTCTCAGGTTTTAAATCGTATCGAGTTTATTAGTGGATTGAACTGAACGATTTTATGAAAGAACATTATAACGGCGATCTGTCTTCTAATGCCCAAATATAGCATTCCAAATTCAGCTAACAAAATGGAATTATCAACTCCACGCTGCGGATAGGTCCCATGTTTTATTGAACCAACAAAATTTGAGAAATGTTCTCTGAACTGCTTCAGTAGTGCTTATATGAATGAAATAGATTGGATGCCAAATAAAACATCCATATTGCAAACATGCAACAACATAAGCATTAAACAAAATCTTAGTTGTTGAAATATTATTAAACAACTTGCCTTGTCTTATTATAAAGCCTAATAGTGAAAATGCTCTCTCCACTTATTATATTATACACAAACGTTAATTTACAATAAAAAAAATACCTAAATCTTTGATGACGTTTCCTCTAATTAGTGGGTCCTTACCAAACTTATAATCATAAATTTTTGCAGGAGAAGTTTTTCGTGTAAACGATACTACTTTACATTTATTCACATTCAAGTATAGTTTATTGGAAGAACACCATATTTAAATCATCTTGCAGTAATTGTGCATCATTGAAATCATTAATAACGTTATATAACTTAGCATCATCAGCATCAGAGCTGTTCAAAGTACTCAACAAAAGTACTTGAAGTACCAAGTACAAAGTACTTCTTGAAATAGTGTTCAAGTAAAGTACCAAGTACTTACTTTTACTGAAAATACTTCAAGTCTCAAGTACTTTCCTCATGTACTTGAAGTATAATCCAAGTACATTATTTCAAGTACTTGCATATACTTGAAATACTGAAAATACTTCAAGTATTTGAATATACTTGAAATGCTGAAAATACTTCAAGTAACCTATAGTGAACCAAGAGTTATAAGGTTATATGGCCATCATAAAAGTAGTTGACCGCAAATAAATACCCCTTTTGTGTGGTTCGCACTAAGCTTACCGGTTGGCAATAAATCACCTTCTAAACATTTCTTGCTCATATTTAACAGGGCCGGCTTTCAAAGCCAGTGGTTATTTCGGAACCCTCAGCGGCTGCAGGTAGTAAAGAAATAGTGGAGTGGTGGATTTTCATATTTAGTGAAAGCCGCCCCTGAACGAAACCACAAGAGCCGGTCGAGCTGCAGTGAACACGTTATTTACGACCCTAAAATCTTTTCTATTGTAAACAACTTAACTTCGACACAATGGGATGATTTTATGATGGCCATATAACCTTGTAACTCTTGGTTCACTATACCTAATAATTTGAAATATTGCAGATTAACATAACTTTTTTGTTTCCTAAATAAGCTTAATGCATTTTTAAGTTGACATTGAAAAACAAACTATTAATTTATAACAAAAATATCGGCGCTATATGGTATTTTCTCAGGCTTCTGTTGCCTTTTTTTAATATTTTGAATTTTGATTCACCACCAAAACGTTCTGATTTTTTAATAAAGTTGTGTAAAAAATATATGAATTTTATGAACCGGTTCCGTGTTTAAGTTTCCGGGTAGTTTACAGCATTGCGCATTGTGAAAGTGCATCTGTGGTGCACAGGGTCGGATTTGTGAAACTGAAATTTTTCAGAACAAAATTTCCAGAGCAGTGCGATACATACGATATACATGCTCGTGACATAAAAATGTTTAAGACACTATGTTGCATTTTCAAAAAAAATGTATAAATTTTTGAAATAAAACTTAAAATGCCTAAAACGAGAGTCCATTTTCAGCAAAAACTATAACTCTTGAGAAATATCAAGGTGATCAAAGTAATCAATCGTTTTTACTTTTGCGTTTACCAAAAATGCTGAGAATTTTCTTGAAATGAATGCCCTATACTCCTGAATATATCTGTCTACTACTTACGTATTTACTATTCTAAAAACTATTAAATTAACCTAAATACTACACTAACTAAATAGTAAACACTAATCACTACAATGTTTGTCTATCTATAAGTATGTAACTTTACACTGACAAATCACAAATAATAGGTTCGTAAGACTGTTCATTTATACAAAATTTTGTTCCTCTAATGCCACAATACTTTCCAGAATTTTTCTTTACATTTTCGATTGGCTTATATTTTATTTTTACCTGAAAACGCAAAGACGATGACATTAATGGGTATCTTTACCTGTTATTGTAAATACAAATGTAAATTTAGTATAGTAGCTGTCACAATAAGCTAAACGCCTCAAGCGCTCAATAAACCCCTAACCACAGCTTATAGATGCCATAAATTTGGGCCGAATGCCGCGTACCATTCAGTTAGTATTTAAATAAGAGATATGCTGTGCCCAAACAGTGGAGAGTAATAAAACAAGCCGCCCCAGGCAGCATTCGATCTGATTTGACGGTCAGAATACTTCTGTAACCGCCCTGTATTAAACATCGAAACCGAACGGTGTCTATTATTTCGCACACAACAAAACAAAGGTCCCTCGAGCAATATCAAAGTACAATTCGGTACTCATTAAAACCATACAATCATGGTCGTATCAGCTGGATTACAAAAAACATTGGTACTACGAGCCGAGTTGCACAAAACATATTTCATTTTGAACAATATTGGGTTTATGTAATAAGCGATGCAATGTAATACGTAACGTTGTTGTACGGTAATAAATAAAATCTGCATATGATGATTTTTAAAATCATTGTTTTTTTGCATTACGTGTTTTTAAATTGTTGGTGTTCAAATAACACATACAATTTAACAGATTATTTGAAACTGTAATGTGAGAATATATAAGTAGTAATAACAAACTAAGCTTATATGGCTGAACCATGTATAAACAAAAAAAGAGAATTTGGTAATAAACGAGTGTCTAACGTGATATAGTTATTAAGGTATTTAGGGCGTTATGAAATAAATAACGCACGAGGTCGACAGTGTACTCCCGAGGGCGTCCCGCCCGAGGGAAAGTACGTCGGCCGAGGGTGTTATGTTCATAACCCCCGTGGTGCCTTCAACATTTTATGTCATCCTTACCAGCAAAAGTTTATAACTAAACACAAAATTCCAAAAAAAAGCTTATTCCCGTAATTTAACAGAAAAATCGACCTACCTTGGTCACTAGCAACGGCGTTGTTTACTAAATGAAAAATTGTGTGACAGGTGCAATATTACAAAATGTGCGACGAAAACTTGCCGGAACGTGTTTTGGCAAGTGCTGCAAAAGCTGTGGAAGGAATAATTCCAGTGAAATCGAAATCTGTTTACGAAAAAGAATATTCCCGCTTCAGTCAATGGACAAACGACAATTCAGTAAAGACCGTAAATGAAACCGTTCTGCTTGCTTATTTTCAAGAGCTAACTGCGGATTTTTCTCCGAATTCGTTGTGGACTAAATTTTCTATGTTAAGGAAATAATTAATGGTTAAAAAAGTGGTGAATAGTGCTAAAAAGTTTTCCCAATTGGAGGTCTATTTAAAGCAACGCTCAAAAGGCTACCAACCAAAAAAATCAAAGGTACTAACATGGGAACAGGTCAGGAACAGTTACTTTATTATGTACAATAACTACAAGGGTTGCTTCCTATAACAGGTGGTGGGGGAGTCGCGGGATATTTAAATCGTCCCTCATGACATCCTCTCCTTTTTATGTACGACCACTGACCATACATAAATCTGTAGAATCTCGGTTGATCCTTTCTTTTCTCCAATACTATCCATGATAACCAATTTCACCCTTAGAAATTTTTAATTTTTACTCTATCCCCTCTCTTTAAATCGGGTAAGATTTTTGAATTCCTATCATGACCCTTTTTTGTTTGTTTTTAACCACTCATTAAAGATGTTTGTGTTCTGGAGAATAATTTGCACACTAAACAGAAAACACACCCTTTGCTTTTTGAATAAGATAACCAAGATCTCGTTAATTGTTGCCCATTTTTTAAACGTTTCAGAAAATATTTGTAAATTGTCTGCTCTGGCCCTTATAATTCCTGATAGTCTCAGGGTAAATATTGTATTCCCTTTTATTTTGAAAAAACGAGCTTTCTTTTGATAGGCAACTTCCGATAAAATTTTCATTGATAAAATTCGCCCGTAATGCTATATCTTTAAATTTATCGTTAAATATATCACTTACGATTTGTTTAGCCTCATCTTTAATCATGTTTTCATCGACTGTATCGGTGACGGTGGTAGCGTAGTTGTTGCATGAAGTTCCAGCAGAATTTTTCACACTTTTCAAAATAACTTCATTTTCACCAGTTGAGTTATTTGAAGTGGAAGTAGAAGGTTGAGGTGTAAAAAAACTTGTGACTTTTCGACATCTTGCTAGTTCTTGCTCATGTTGAAGCTTAAGTTTCCTCTTTTGGCTTCCACTGAGATATTTGCGCTCAGACATTTTATTTAATCAAATACCTAATGAATAAGTTTTATTATTAATATTTAACAAAACGAAAATAATTATTTAAATACCTTAAACACTGTTGATTCCACAAATGATAATATATAATTCGACGCAAACTGAATTATGGAATTTTTAATTTTTAACACACTGTAATATTCGCAGAGCAGTACACTTTTAAATTTACTGAACGAACCAACGAACAGAAAAGAATGAGGGAGTGTAAACAAAACGTTTTGTAAAACACTGCACCCATCTGCACCGGGAACTCTTTATGGTATCCCAGATGTAGGTGGCTGCCATAAATTAACGGAAAGGGCGGAAGTGGCCAGATTTGCAAACGGTCAGCCGAAGACGAAATTGGATTTTTGTAAGAACCAAGTTAGAAACAAATTTTATTTATTTTTTACATTTAAGCCGAAGGGGGCCCCTTACCTTCGGGGGCCTGATGCTCCAGCATCACAAGTATCCCTATAGATCCGCCTCTGAGTAGTCCCAGAGAATTAAAGTTTGGTGCGGCATTATTGGTCGCCACATTGTGGGCCCCTTCTTCATTAACGGAAATTTAACGTCTGACAAATACCTCCAACTTTTGCAACAAATACTTATTTCTCAACTATGAGAATCCAAATCTACCTGCAGAGTCCAAAAACAAATGATATACTTATAAAATTTGAAAAAATTTAAGAAAATAGAACTTGAGTATTCCTAGGGATAGCCTAAATTTCAAAAAGATTCAACAAACCGTTCTCACGATATTCAAGAGCTTCCATAATTTTAGAGACCACGTATTAGTATTTGTTTGTTCACTAATGCAGACCGGTGCAAAGGTCTGATTACTATACATTTACCTACTTCATCTATAAAAAAATAACAACCCATCCGATATCATTATAATAAATCTTGTCACCGCAAGATCAATGAATTAATGAAAAAACATTTACAGTGCCTATAAAAGATCAAGTTTACTGTATACGTACAGAACAACACTACAGCACGGGAACTAAACAAGTGAAGATTGTGTACCTACTTTCATTATGGCAAAACTCGATAGTGTGTTGTTAACTATATTAGTTTTTTGCTCCACTGGTAAATACTTATTACTATTTTTATCGCAAAAATTTTAAAAAGAACAATTTTGAACAATCGTATTCTTGTAGCTACTGCCCACAACACCAAAGAGGCAGGCGAGATAAATCCTAAACCGCCGACTTCCTCAGTAAGCGAACAGTGTCTGGGCTGCCTTTGTTACACAATGTCTTTCTGCGATGTCAACAATACTTGTGAAGGTGAAGCCTGTGGTCCTTTTAGAATTAATTGGGATTACTGGGCCGATTCTTGAAAACCTACTGTTAGAAATGAGTCTCCTCAAATTGAGAACGCTTACATTAATTGTGTTAGTGACTTTGAGTGTTCAGTTCAGTCAGTAAAAGAATATATGCTGAGATTCCAACAGGTAAAAATTAGGACTGATTTTATAAAAGATTGTAATGTTGTTATTTTGACAGGATTGTAACGGAGATGGTAAAATCGACTGTGACGACTTTACTGCCATTCACTTGTTTGGTCCTACTGACTGCAGAAGTAATACACTCACAGGAGTTCACCTAGAACGCTATCAATGGTGCATAAATCTGAACTGAGATCTTATTGAAAATGAGCGCTTTACTGTTAATTATTATGTTCTTTCTATATATTAATATATAGACTAATAAATAGTTAATAGACAGAAAATTGATTTCATTTTTAAAAAGCCATCTACCCAATTACTCTACAAAGAGTGTTAAGAAAGTTAGAAATAGGACAGAAGTTTTTCCTCATGTATCTGTAGTAAGTTCCAATTAGATTTCTCTTCGTGATTCCGAAACTTTGTACAACAAGTGTATCTTTCGAGTGAACCGCATCTTCATCACATATTGCTTTACAATATAGAATATATTAAGTAGAACTTAATAGCAATGAATTGAGCGCAAAAATGTCGTAAGCTGAAGCCGTGGTGAAAAACAGTACTTTGTATAGCCAAAAGGTAGAACTCAATCGGGTTCGAAAACTAAGTCATATGTTCTAAATGCAGCTGACCCTCTTAATTCATCTTTGAATATTGGTAAGGTAAAACCACTTAAGCATGGTGGATTGTTAGTCACATGTGAAAGTACTAAAACGTTGAAGCAAAATTTCAAAGTGGAAATTTTCTGAAAAATATTAAATAAGAGAGAAGTCAAAAGCATACGACCAAGTATTAAAATAGTTGGCTTTTCCGATGATGTAGAAGAAGATAATATTGTAACATACTGAAGAAAACAAAATGAAATAATTTTTAGTGAAGATTCGGATATTAAATTGCTTAAACTCAATAAAAAAAAATAAAATCTATCAGGCTCTATTTGAAGTTCATCTGCCTACCTATAAAAGGACTTTGAATGTCGGCCAATGTCTAATTGGCCTTGATAGCTGTACTATCTATGATTCGGTTGAAGTTGCAAGATGTTTCAATTGTAACAAGTACGGACACTCATCAAAAGGGTGCAAAAATAAAACTTTTTGTCCTAAATGTGCTAGTGAACATAATGCTGCTGAGTGTTAGACTGACGATCTCAAATGTAGCAACTGTTAAAAGATGATGAAATTGTTAACGTTGATATCATCACTGATCATGCGGTTTGGGACTATACCTAAATCCTATATATGTTTTAAGAAGACGATGGATAAAATCAAGCATGATCTTTTTGGTCCCATTATAAGCAATCACTGTCACAATTTTCTCTTCTTCAATCTGTTGTCAATTCCTCTTCTTTCAATAGTAACGCCTTAAATACTTCTATCCATAATCACATCAGTTTCTTTTTTAATTATCAAAGCAACAATGCCAACGAGGTAGATATGTACTATCAAAATGTAAGGAGTGTGAAATCTGTGGTTAACAACAGAAACGTGGTTAGATTGCTCTATCTCTACTTTGAAACTTGATGTCACTACTGAACTTAACGCATGTTAATACTGTCTCTAACTCTCATGGTCGTTTTCTAGATTTTGTTTTTGGCTCACTAAATAGCTGTATTATTACTCACGAGTCTTGCCCCATAGTAATCGAAGATAAATATCATCCAGCATTGCACATTAATCTTGGGGTTAAAAAAACCTCATCAACATTTTTGCAAGGACATTTATATCAGTTTGGATAGATGTAGTGTAATACTAAAAATAAAAGTACTCTATTCCCAAATTTCCAGGAAAATGAATTGGGTCGTCTTGAATATTGTACGCGGATGACATTAAGATCTATACGAAAACAGAAAGTTTTGACGATTGCCTCTTATTGCAGATGGATCTGAAGAATATCCAACAATGGTGTATATCAAATTGTATACTATTAAATCATAAACCGCGTCAATTATATTTCTTATAATGGTTTCAGGTCCTCTTTATTTACATCTAATAGCGGCGTTGCTAAAGGTTCTAATCTTGGACCGTTACTCTTCAATATATTCGTAAATGACTCAGTTGTCCGAGTCTTGCTTATGCTGACGACCTCAAAATAACACGATATTTTTAATTTTTTTTTTTCATATCCAATTGATGGATGTTCTATTATTAAGAAAGACGATGTGATTTTTTATGTAGGATTTAATAAAACAGAAATAGGGGAAATAGTACTTACCCTTCGGTAACAACTATTTTCACTTTTTGTATTTATTAATGTATTCAGGACCGCAAAAATTTGGACTCGTCTTTCAATGAATATATTTCCCCCTTTTCATTTTATTTTTGCATGCAAGCTTTCCGAAATTTAAAATAAGAAAGATTATATTTAAATAGTATTTAACAGAACATGTTCCCTTCAAACTCCATAATATATAATTTAGCTCATTCATTAAAATATTAATAAAACATTTGTTTTCACAGAATTTTGTTTGTTTGTCCACTAATGCGGACCCACGCAATGGTTAATGACTACTATCTAATTATTAATATCTGTTAAAAAAAATAACAACCCGTATGATGTCATTATAATCAATGTTCTGTCACCGCAGATTTCTGAAGAACATGATTGAAACGTCATTCGTGGTAACTTTTGCAGCCTGCATAAAAGATCCATTTCACTGCATAGAGAACTACACTACTCCACAGAAACTAAACAAGTCAAGATCGTGTGTACTTTCACCATGGCGAAACTCGATAGTGTCTTGTTAACTATATTTGTTTTTTGCTCTACTGGTAAGTACTTATATGTTTTTCGTGAAAACCTTAAAAAGAACAATTTTGAACAATCATATTCTTGTAGCTACTGCCCACTGCACTACAAAGTCAACCCCTACAACACCACAGCCGCCTTGCTCAACAAGCGTAGGATCCTCTACCAGTAAGTACTTATATGTTTTTCGTGAAAACCTTAAAAAGAACAATTTTGAACAATCATATTCTTGTAGCTACTACCGACTGGACTACAACGCCAACCTCTACAACACCAGAGCCGCCTGGCCGACCAACCGATCCACCCTCTACTAGTAAGTACTTATATGTTTTTCGTGAAAACCTGAAAAGAACAATTTTGAACAATCATATTCTTGTAGCTACTACCGACTGGACTACAACGGCAACCTCTACAACACCAGAGCTGCCTGGCCGACCAACCGAGCCACCCTCTACTAGTAAGTACTTATATGTTTTTCGTGAAAACCTTAAAAAGACCAATTTTGAACAATCATATTCTTGTAGCTACTACCGACCGGACTACAAAGCCAACCTCTACAACACCACAGCCGCCTGGCCGACCAACCGAGCCACACTCTACTAGTAAGTACTTATATGTTTTTCGTGAAAACCTTAAAAGAACAATTTTGAACAATCATATTCTTGTAGCTACTACCGACTGGACAACAACGCCAACCTCTACAACACCAGAGCTGCCTGGCCGAACAACCGAGCCACCGTCTACTAGTATGTACTTATATGTTTTTCGTGAAAACCTTAAAAGAACAATTTTGAACAATCATATTCTTGTAGCTACTACCGACCGGACTACAAAGCCAACCTCTACAACACCAGAGCCGCCTGGCCGACCAACCGATCCACCCTCTACTAGTAAGTACTTATATGTTTTTCGTGAAAACCTTAAAAAGACCAATTTTGAACAATCATATTCTTGTAGCTACTACCGACCGGACTACAAAGCCAACCTCTACAACACCACAGCCGCCTGGCCGACCAACCGAGCCACCCTCTACTAGTAAGTACTTATATGTTTTTCGTGAAAACCTGAAAAGAACAATTTTGAACAATCATATTCTTGTAGCTACTACCGACTGGACTACAACGCCAACCTCTACAACACCAGAGCTGCCTGGCCGACCAACCGAGCCACCCTCTACTAGTAAGTACTTATATGTTTTTCGTGAAAACCTTAAAAAACAATTTTGAACAATCATATTCTTGTAGCTACTACCGACCGGACTACAACGCCAACCTCTACAACACCAGAGCCGCCTTGCCGACCAACCGAGCCACCCTCTAATAGTAAGTACTTATATGTTTTTCGTGAAAACCTTAAAAAGACCAATTTTGAACAATCATATTCTTGTAGCTACTACCGACCGGACTACAAAGCCAACCTTTACAACACCACATCCGCCTGGCCGACCAACCGAGCCACCCTCTACTAGTAAGTACTTATATGTTTTTGGTGAAAACCTTAAAAAGAACAATTTTGAACAATCATATTCTTGTAGCTACTACCGACCGGACTACAAAGCCAACCTCTACAACACCACAGCCCCCTGGCCGACCAACCAAGCCACCCTCTACTAGTAAGTACTTATATGTTTTTCGTGAAAACCTTAAAAGAACAATTTTGAACAATCATATTCTTGTAGCTACTACCGACTGGACTACAACGCCAACCTCTACAACACCAGAGCCGCCTTGCCGACCAACCGAGCCACCCTCTACTAGTAAGTACTTATATGTTTTTCGTGAAAACCTTAAAAAGACCAATTTTGAACAATCATATTCTTGTAGCTACTACCGACCGGACTACAAAGCCAACCTCTACAACACCACAGCCGCCTGGCCGACCAACCGAGCCACCCTCTACTAGTAAGTACTTATATGTTTTTCGTGAAAACCTTAAAAGAACAATTTTGAACAATCATATTCTTGTAGCTACTACCGACTGGACTACAACGCCAACTTCTACAACACCAGAGCCGCCTTGCCGACCAACCGAGCCACCCTCTACTAGTAAGTACTTATATGTTTTTGGTGAAAACCTTAAAAAGAACAATTTTGAACAATCATACCAACCGAGCCACCCTCTACTAGTATGTACTTATATGTTTTTCGTGAAAACCTTAAAAAGAACAATTTTTAACAATCATATTCTTGTAGCTACTACCGACCGGACTACAAAGCCTACCTCTACAACACCACAGCCGCCTGGCCGACCAACCGAGCCACCCTCTACTAGTAAGTACTTATATGTTTTTCGTGAAAACCTTAAAAGAACAATTTTGAACAATCATATTCTTGTAGCTACTACCGACCGGACTACAACGCCAACCTCTACAACACCAGAGCCGCCTGGCCGACCAACCGATCCACCCTCTACTAGTAAGTACTTATATGTTTTTCGTGAAAACCTGAAAAGAACAATTTTGAACAATCATATTCTTGTAGCTACTACCGACCGGACTACAACGCCAACCTCTACAACACCACAGCCGCCTGGCCGACCAACCGAGCCACCCTCTACTAGTAAGTACTTATATGTTTTTCGTGAAAACCTTAAAAGAACAATTTTGAACAATCATATTCTTGTAGCTACTACCGACCGGACTACAACGCCAACCTCTACAACACCAGAGCCGCCTTGCCGACCAACCGAGCCACCCTCTACTAGTAAGTACTTATATGTTTTTCGTGAAAACCTTAAAAAGACCAATTTTGAACAATCATATTCTTGTAGCTACTACCGACCGGACTACAAAGCCAACCTCTACAACACCACAGCCGCCTGGCCGACCAACCGAGCCACCCTCTACTAGTAAGTACTTATATGTTTTTCGTGAAAACCTTAAAAGAACAATTTTGAACAATCATATTCTTGTAGCTACTACCGACTGGACTACAACGCCAACTTCTACAACACCAGAGCCGCCTTGCCGACCAACCGAGCCACCCTCTACTAGTAAGTACTTATATGTTTTTGGTGAAAACCTTAAAAAGAACAATTTTGAACAATCATACCAACCGAGCCACCCTCTAGTAGTATGTACTTATATGTTTTTCGTGAAAACCTTAAAAAGAACAATTTTTAACAATCATATTCTTGTAGCTACTACCGACCGGACTACAAAGCCTACCTCTACAACACCAGAGCCGCCTGGCCGACCAACCGAGCCACCCTCTACTAGTAAGTACTTATATGTTTTTCGTGAAAACCTTAAAAGAACAATTTTGAACAATCATATTCTTGTAGCTACTACCGACCGGACTACAACGCCAACCTCTACAACACCAGAGCCGCCTTGCCGACCAACCGAGCCACCCTCTACTAGTAAGTACTTATATGTTTTTCGTGAAAACCTTAAAAAGACCAATTTTGAACAATCATATTCTTGTAGCTACTACCGACCGGACTACAAAGCCAACCTCTACAACACCACAGCCGCCTGGCCGACCAACCGAGCCACCCTCTACTAGTAAGTACTTATATGTTTTTCGTGAAAACCTTAAAAGAACAATTTTGAACAATCATATTCTTGTAGCTACTACCGACTGGACTACAACGCCAACTTCTACAACACCAGAGCCGCCTTGCCGACCAACCGAGCCACCCTCTACTAGTAAGTACTTATATGTTTTTCGTGAAAACCTTAAAAAGACCAATTTTGAACAATCATATTCTTGTAGCTACTACCGACCGGACTACAAAGCCAACCTCTACAACACCACAGCCGCCTGGCCGACCAACCGAGCCACCCTCTACTAGTAAGTACTTATATGTTTTTCGTGAAAACCTTAAAAGAACAATTTTGAACAATCATATTCTTGTAGCTACTACCGACTGGACTACAACGCCAACTTCTACAACACCAGAGCCGCCTTGCCGACCAACCGAGCCACCCTCTACTAGTAAGTACTTATATGTTTTTGGTGAAAACCTTAAAAAGAACAATTTTGAACAATCATACCAACCGAGCCACCCTCTACTAGTATGTACTTATATGTTTTTCGTGAAAACCTTAAAAAGAACAATTTTTAACAATCATATTCTTGTAGCTACTACCGACCGGACTACAAAGCCTACCTCTACAACACCAGAGCCGCCTGGCCGACCAACCGAGCCACCCTCTACTAGTAAGTACTTATATGTTTTTCGTGAAAACCTTAAAAGAACAATTTTGAACAATCATATTCTTGTAGCTACTACCGACCGGACTACAACGCCAACCTCTACAACACCAGAGCCGCCTTGCCGACCAACCGAGCCACCCTCTACTAGTAAGTACTTATATGTTTTTCGTGAAAACCTTAAAAAGACCAATTTTGAACAATCATATTCTTGTAGCTACTACCGACCGGACTACAAAGCCAACCTCTACAACACCACAGCCGCCTGGCCGACCAACCGAGCCACCCTCTACTAGTAAGTACTTATATGTTTTTCGTGAAAACCTTAAAAGAACAATTTTGAACAATCATATTCTTGTAGCTACTACCGACTGGACTACAACGCCAACCTCTACAACACCACAGCCGCCTGGCCGACCAACCGAGCCACCCTCTACTAGTAAGTACTTATATGTTTTTCGTGAAAACCTTAAAAGAACAATTTTGAACAATCATATTCTTGTAGCTACTACCGACCGGACTACAACGCCAACCTCTACAACACCAGAGCCGCCTGGCCGACCAACCGATCCACCCTCTACTAGTAAGTACTTATATGTTTTTCGTGAAAACCTGAAAAGAACAATTTTGAACAATCATATTCTTGTAGCTACTACCGACCGGACTACAACGCCAACCTCTACAACACCACAGCCGCCTGGCCGACCAACCGAGCCACCCTCTACTAGTAAGTACTTATATGTTTTTCGTGAAAACCTTAAAAGAACAATTTTGAACAATCATATTCTTGTAGCTACTACCGACCGGACTACAACGCCAACCTCTACAACACCAGAGCCGCCTTGCCGACCAACCGAGCCACCCTCTACTAGTAAGTACTTATATGTTTTTCGTGAAAACCTTAAAAAGACCAATTTTGAACAATCATATTCTTGTAGCTACTACCGACCGGACTACAAAGCCAACCTCTACAACACCACAGCCGCCTGGCCGACCAACCGAGCCACCCTCTACTAGTAAGTACTTATATGTTTTTCGTGAAAACCTTAAAAGAACAATTTTGAACAATCATATTCTTGTAGCTACTACCGACTGGACTACAACGCCAACTTCTACAACACCAGAGCCGCCTTGCCGACCAACCGAGCCACCCTCTACTAGTAAGTACTTATATGTTTTTGGTGAAAACCTTAAAAAGAACAATTTTGAACAATCATACCAACCGAGCCACCCTCTAGTAGTATGTACTTATATGTTTTTCGTGAAAACCTTAAAAAGAACAATTTTTAACAATCATATTCTTGTAGCTACTACCGACCGGACTACAAAGCCTACCTCTACAACACCAGAGCCGCCTGGCCGACCAACCGAGCCACCCTCTACTAGTAAGTACTTATATGTTTTTCGTGAAAACCTTAAAAGAACAATTTTGAACAATCATATTCTTGTAGCTACTACCGACCGGACTACAACGCCAACCTCTACAACACCAGAGCCGCCTTGCCGACCAACCGAGCCACCCTCTACTAGTAAGTACTTATATGTTTTTCGTGAAAACCTTAAAAAGACCAATTTTGAACAATCATATTCTTGTAGCTACTACCGACCGGACTACAAAGCCAACCTCTACAACACCACAGCCGCCTGGCCGACCAACCGAGCCACCCTCTACTAGTAAGTACTTATATGTTTTTCGTGAAAACCTTAAAAGAACAATTTTGAACAATCATATTCTTGTAGCTACTACCGACTGGACTACAACGCCAACTTCTACAACACCAGAGCCGCCTTGCCGACCAACCGAGCCACCCTCTACTAGTAAGTACTTATATGTTTTTCGTGAAAACCTTAAAAAGACCAATTTTGAACAATCATATTCTTGTAGCTACTACCGACCGGACTACAAAGCCAACCTCTACAACACCACAGCCGCCTGGCCGACCAACCGAGCCACCCTCTACTAGTAAGTACTTATATGTTTTTCGTGAAAACCTTAAAAGAACAATTTTGAACAATCATATTCTTGTAGCTACTACCGACTGGACTACAACGCCAACTTCTACAACACCAGAGCCGCCTTGCCGACCAACCGAGCCACCCTCTACTAGTAAGTACTTATATGTTTTTGGTGAAAACCTTAAAAAGAACAATTTTGAACAATCATACCAACCGAGCCACCCTCTACTAGTATGTACTTATATGTTTTTCGTGAAAACCTTAAAAAGAACAATTTTTAACAATCATATTCTTGTAGCTACTACCGACCGGACTACAAAGCCTACCTCTACAACACCAGAGCCGCCTGGCCGACCAACCGAGCCACCCTCTACTAGTAAGTACTTATATGTTTTTCGTGAAAACCTTAAAAGAACAATTTTGAACAATCATATTCTTGTAGCTACTACCGACCGGACTACAACGCCAACCTCTACAACACCAGAGCCGCCTTGCCGACCAACCGAGCCACCCTCTACTAGTAAGTACTTATATGTTTTTCGTGAAAACCTTAAAAAGACCAATTTTGAACAATCATATTCTTGTAGCTACTACCGACCGGACTACAAAGCCAACCTCTACAACACCACAGCCGCCTGGCCGACCAACCGAGCCACCCTCTACTAGTAAGTACTTATATGTTTTTCGTGAAAACCTTAAAAGAACAATTTTGAACAATCATATTCTTGTAGCTACTACCGACTGGACTACAACGCCAACCTCTACAACACCACAGCCGCCTGGCCGACCAACCGAGCCACCCTCTACTAGTAAGTACTTATATGTTTTTCGTGAAAACCTTAAAAGAACAATTTTGAACAATCATATTCTTGTAGCTACTACCGACCGGACTACAACGCCAACCTCTACAACACCAGAGCCGCCTGGCCGACCAACCGATCCACCCTCTACTAGTAAGTACTTATATGTTTTTCGTGAAAACCTGAAAAGAACAATTTTGAACAATCATATTCTTGTAGCTACTACCGACCGGACTACAACGCCAACCTCTACAACACCAGAGCTGCCTGGCCGACCAACCGAGCCACCCTCTACTAGTAAGTACTTATATGTTTTTCGTGAAAACCTTAAAAGAACAATTTTGAACAATCATATTCTTGTAGCTACTACCGACCGGACTACAACGCCAACCTCTACAACACCAGAGCCGCCTTGCCGACCAACCGAGCCACCCTCTACTAGTAAGTACTTATATGTTTTTCGTGAAAACCTTAAAAAGACCAATTTTGAACAATCATATTCTTGTAGCTACTACCGACCGGACTACAAAGCCAACCTCTACAACACCACAGCCGCCTGGCCGACCAACCGAGCCACCCTCTACTAGTAAGTACTTATATGTTTTTCGTGAAAACCTTAAAAGAACAATTTTGAACAATCATATTCTTGTAGCTACTACCGACCGGACTACAAAGCCAACCTCTACAACACCACAGCCGCCTGGCCGACCAACCGAGCCACCCTCTACTAGTAAGTACTTATATGTCTTTCGTGAAAACCTTAAAAAGAACAATTTTGAACAATCATATTCTTGTAGCTACTACCGACCGGACTACAAAGCCAACCTCTACAACACCACAGCCGCCTGGCCGACCAACCGAGCCACCCTCTACTAGTAAGTACTTATATGTTTTTCGTGAAAACCTTAAAAGAACAATTTTGAACAATCATATTCTTGTAGCTATTACCGACTGGACTACAACGCCAACCTCTACAACACCAGAGCCGTCTTGCCGACCAACCGAGCCACCCTCTACTAGTAAGTACTTATATGTTTTTCGTGAAAACCTTAAAAAGACCAATTTTGAACAATCATATTCTTGTAGCTACTACCGACCGGACTACAAAGCCAACCTCTACAACACCACAGCCGCCTGGCCGACCAACCGAGCCACCCTCTACTAGTAAGTACTTATATGTTTTTCGTGAAAACCTTAAAAGAACAATGTTGAACAATCATATTCTTGTAGCTACTACCGACCGGACTACAAAGCCAACCTCTACAACACCACAGCCGCCTTGCCGACCAACCGAGCAACCCTCTACTAGTAAGTACTTATAAGTTTTTCGTGAAAACCTTAAAAAGAACAATTTTGAACAATCATATTCTTGTAGCTACTACCGACCGGACTACAAAGCCAACTTCTACAACACCACAGCCGCCTGGCCGACCAACCGAGCCACCCTCTACTAGTAAGTACTTATATGTTTTTCGTGAAAACCTTAAAAAGAACAATTTTGAACAATCATATTCTTGTAGCTACTACCCACTACACTACAAAGCCAACCCCTACATTTACCCCACTCTCGCCTTGCTTAATATCTGGAGAATGCATGAACTGCCTTTGTCAGACAATGTCTCACTGCGTGGTCGACGATAACTGTACAGGTGCCGCCTGTGGCCCTTTTAGAATAAACCGGGAATACTGGGCTGCCTCTGGAAAGCCTGTCATCCACTATGGGGTTCCTGACATTGACAATGAATACAATAAATGTGTTAAAAACTGGGGCTGTTCAGTTCGGTCAGTACTAGGATACCTCAGCAGATTCCAACAGGTAAAAATTCGGGCTGATTTTAGAAAATATTGTAGTTTTATTATTTCGACAGGACTGTAACGGTAATGGTAAATTCGACTGCTACGACTATATCGCCACTCATTTATTTGGTCCTCATGAATGCAGAAAGAAGAAGCTCACAGGAGAGTACCTACAACGTTATCAATCCTGCGACTGCGGAAAGATACCTGATTGTCACTGATTTGTTGTGAATTATTAAAATCCTTTATATAAGTATTAATAAAGCTAATAAATAGTTAACATTGAACTGCTTTCATTTTTGAACTGTGTTTCCAATCTCTCTAGAAATAATTAATAATATATTAAATATCTGATTATTATCTGACAACTGTAAGTATAAAATGCATGATTTGATTACTTATTCTTGTCCTGCTCAACAAGAGCAGTTTTTGAGTGAACTGTGTTCTTTATTTTATATCATTCATTGCTCAAAGAAAAGTATATTGCCTAAATTTTTCTCGCATTTTTTAACCAATGTACTACTTGGTTCTCTTGTCCATTTGAGTTCAAATACTTTCTTCCCTTCATGATAGGTTTTTTTTGGAATAAGGTGTTTGTTGTTCAGTATGTTTGATCCTGTATCGTTCGAAAAGAAAGTTAATCACTAGTTGACTACAAAATCAAACTGAAGGAACATGGCTTGAGTTAAGGAGAAGACGTAGTTGAAAATGAATCATGCGAAGAATCTTTCCAAGAAACTTTTGAAAATTTAGATGTGATGCAACAATTATTTTCGAATCAGTAGCGAAGAGAATGGTAACAGGGATTTTGAAGTGAACGAAAATTAGTCGAACGATGGCACCAATGAAAGTAAGCCCAACAATAATTCTGGAACAGGCGATGACCGCTGGCTCAACATATACCTCATATCAATTTCGAATCTAACACCTATGGCGTTTTTTTTATGAACCATTATTATTTGACAACGTGTTATAGAATAGTTCTGGGTTAGGAAGGAAATGCGAGGCAGAAAAACGGCGCAAAAATACCACTCAAAGCTTATTCATAGAAAAAAAGAGGGAACGGTGCAGACGCCAGATGCAATAACAAGGTTTCAGTAACGAGCCACCGAAACACCTCCTATTTCTTTGTTGTATTTTATCTAGAGATGTACCGACTGTAGGTCTGGCCGACTAACCGACTAGCCGATTATTCGGCCAGTAAAAACCGACTAGTCGGCCGACTGTTCGGCTTTGCTAAAACCGGTTTATTAATGCCACAAACAGTGTGTTTTTTTTCTATTTCTCAGACTACCTTAAAGATTTGTTTTATTTTAATAAAAGGAATAACTAAAGTTCCTTTGTTTTCCAAAAAATGTGTTAAATTTGTTTGGATAATTTTAACATTTAATTTTTTTTAGTAACTCAGTACAAAAATAAAGAATAACACAATTTAGGGGCAGTTTATACAATATTTTAACTGAGATTAAGTTGATCGTGCATTTAACAAGGCCATTAGCGACGTCTAATTGGCGTAGATTCGGTCACATGGTACTTTAACGCGGGGTAAAAAATTAAATCGCAATTAAATATTTAATTGAGGTTCTGTAAACCGGGTTTAATTGTTTTATACACTATTTTAATGTAAATAAAAAAAGCCGACCGATCGGCTGTTTAGCCGACTAGTCGCCGACTGCAGCCGACGATGAAAAACGGCCGAATAGTCGGCTTATCCGACCGGTCGGCCACTAGTCGGTACATCCCTAATTTTATCATTGAGATATTTTGTTATTATAATTATTGCCTAGTTTTATAAAGGTATTTTAAAGAATATCCCGACGGTGATCGCAATTTAAAACCATGCGTCCCTTCTGGATAGTTCGCCGTCACCACTTCGAGCATGTTCTAGAGCCCGCCGCCGAGACTTCCGCAGAACCACTTCTAGGCATTTCTTTATTCGAATGCCGCTGTCAACGATGATGAGTCGCCCATCATCGCTGTACATACTAGAAAACCCGTAGGCGTCGTACCGTAGTGGCACATGGGTTTAGTTCGTAAGAATATTATGTGTCTACAAAACTCAAAAAATCAATTAATGAAAAATTTATTTTATTGATCACATTAAGAACCTAGACATTTAATAATATACATATCTTTGTCTTAACTTATGTTAAAAAAAATCACAAGATCAAATTTTATAATGTATGTAACAAACTGATTTTGTTGCATTGTAGTTCGAGGGTAAGGAGAGTGTCTAAATAACGTTCGACAAATTTTTCCGGGTATTACGTTTAACCTATAAACATACAATATTTCAAACTGCTGGATTACCAATTAATCGTAACTTGTTTATTAATAAAATTTGTTTATGTTGATATCTTACGATAACAGAAAAGCAAACATACATCCATATATTCATAGAAGCTGTTTTTTATTTTATCTTACTGTTATAAATAAGTAGTGATAGGATTTTGGTATGCAATTTGTAATAATTTTACTAGAGAGATAGTGAAAGTTCCATATTAAAATCAGACAACTACCACTTTTTCCCATGGCAAACGTAAACAGAATTTGTTGTATTTTACTAATTGCAGGTAACATTGGAAGAAATTTTTAGTAACTTTGGAACCTACTTTTATTACACTAATGTACAAAAGTTAAAGAGAACGCGTTTTCAGGTTTTGCAGTTGTCAAAGGTGAAAATGTTGTAACATCCGAATGTTTGGTTTGCATCTGTGAAGCTGCAACTAAGTGCAATTTCATTAAAGATTGTAATTTGAATTCAAATGCATGTGGTCCGTTTAGAATTACGAAACCCTACTGGGCAGGTGCTGGGAGTCCTACGCTTCTGGATGAATCTCCCCAGTCGGTTTCAGCTTTTACACACTGTACTCAACTGGGAGGGAAAGACTGTGAAAAAAAACTGCCAGACGACTTCGTATCACCTTATCAGAAGTGTAGAAGGATATTACTTAAGTATGAAACAGTTGCTCAAAATAACATTAATTTTAATTAATATTTTTTCTTCGTTTTTCTGTATGAACTATTCTTGATTAATACTGATAACTGAATGGTATAAAAATGTTAACGTGTTAAACCACGAAACCGATAATTAGGAAACGTTACCTATATTTGTTACTTTTAAAACCTTATTATAGCTTTCTTTATTTATTTTATCTTTATCTATCTTTTTGTTTGGAAGCTGGTTTTCGGGGTGGTTCACTTTAGCCATTTCATGATTATCAGATCACAACTCGGTCAGTGTAGGAATTAATTGTAACGGGTTGTCTTAACCTAACACACATGTCCAAATTTGCGTATAGTACCATCTAAACAGATAATCGTAATCGACCATTAGTTCCCAAATATAAGAAGAAAATTCGCATATTCGCAAATATAAAATAATATTGTGCTTGTCAGACATCGCAAACCACATGCGCAGAACCGCACATCCAAAAATATCTCCAATCCCAATTACTTTCATTAAACCAAGATGACTTAGACTACCGCAACTAAAATGACGAGATGGAAACCGGGTGATGCAAGCAGAAAAAGTCAACAAATTTATGAGTTAACCTTGTGCCAAAATTTTATAAAAGCGGAACCACAAAAAAGAAAATTCATCAAATCTCGAGGTAAACTACGAACATTTTCCTACTTAAATGGCTGCCCGAATTTGTGCTGAATTTTGCATAAAGTTTAGAAAAGTTTGCTGAATTACGGAAGAAGGCTGGACTCGGAAAAAAATTTGGCTCTAGTAAGTGTTTAATTTATGCATTTTTCTCGGTAGCGCCGGGGTTGAAAGAATCTTGTAATTTTCGAGGTTTTGTTAATACAGATTTAGTTGCACGTATTAATGTTACATTTAGAAGGTATCACACATATTTAGCGACTTGTAAATTTAGTCTCAGGTTTTAAATCGTATCGAGTTTATTAGAGGATTGAACTGAACGATTTTATGAAAGAACGTTATAACGGCGATCTGTCTTCTAATGTCCAAAGAGAGCATTCCAAATTCAGCTAACAAAATGGAATTATCAACTCCACGCTGCGGATAGAACCCATGTTTTATTAAACCAACAAAATTTGAGCAATGTTCTCTGAACTGCTTCAATAGTACTTATAGAATGAAATAGATTGGATGCCAAATAAAACATCCATACTGCAAACATGCAACAACATAAGCATTAAACAAAATCTTAATTGTTGAAATATTATTAAACAACTTGCCTTGTCTTATTATAAAGCCTAATAGTGAAAATGCTCTCTCTATTATATTATACACAAACGTTAATTTACATTCATAAATCTTTGATGACGCTTCCTCTAATTAGTGGGTCCTTACCAAACTTATAATCATAAATTATTGTAGAAGTTTTACGTGTAAACGATACTACTTTACATTTATTCACATTCAAGTATAGTTTATTGGAAGAACACCACATTTAAATCATCTTGTAGTATTGTGCATCATTGAAATCATTAATAACGTTATATAACTTATTAGCATCATCAGCATCAGAGCTGTTCAAAGTACTCAACAAAAATACTTGAAGTACCAAGTACAAAGTACTTCTTGAAATAGTGTTCCAGTAAAGTACCAAGTACTTACTTTTACTGAAAGTACTTCAAGTCTCAAGTACTTTCCTCATGTACTTGAAGTATAATCCAAGTAGATTATTTCAAGTACTTGTACATACTTGAAATACTGAAAATACTTCAAGTACTTGAATATACTTGAAATGCTGAAAATACTTCAAGTAACCTACCTAATAATTTAGAATACTGCAAATTAACATAACTTTTTTGTTTCCTAAATAAGCTTAACGCATTTTTAAGTTGACATTGAAAAACAAACTATTAATTTATAACAAAAACATCGGCGCTATATGGTATTTTCTCAGGCTTCTGTTGCCTTTTTTTAATATTTTGAATTTTGATTCACCACCAAAACGTTCTGATTTTTTAATAAAGTTGTGTAAAAAATATATGAATTTTATGAACCGGTTCCGTGTTTAAGTTTTCGGGTAGTTTACAGCATTGCGCATTGTGAAAGTGCATCTGTGGTGCACAGGGTCGGATTTGTGAAACTGAAATTTTTCAGAACAAAATTTCAAGAGCAGTGCGATACATACGATATACATGCTCGTGACAAAAATGTTTAAGACACTATGTTGCATTTTCAAAAAAAACGCATAAATTTTTGAAATAAAACATAAAATGCCTAAAACGAGAGTCCATT